GGGAGTGGAGAGTACGGTGTATGTACTATTACTTTCACTCGATCAATGCTGAGTTTTAAATTGTTTTTCTTTCTAGAAAAAGGTGTAACTAACAACATGGGACGCATAAAACATGTGGTTTCAGTAGCATATACTTTAATAATATCTACTTTTAAGGAGTACTTTTTGGCTTTTTGTGGGATAATTTTTAGAGTATGATAATGTAAATTCTGCCCAGTGTCTCAGTAGTTAGAATCCTAAGTGGCACTTTGATAACAAAGTGTTGTACTGACTGTTGTCTTGCCCCTAGTTAAATGTTCTACAGTCCTTTAGAATACTTTTGTGCCCTACTATTGCCTACCCTTACAGTAAAACAAACAAATTGATAGGATAGAGATAGAGACTGAGTTTTAGAGAAGGTAGGTGACTTGGCCAGAGTCCTAATTATTGCTACATAAAGCTGACCCTAGAGCCCAGATTCCAAATTAAATCCATTCAATTGAATTATTTTTCTTCCTCCCAAATTAGACAGTGTAGGGAAGTTTACTCACTTTGTGCCCTTTTCTTTTCCTCCTGAAATCCAAGTGGGATTTTTAGTTGTTCTGAGGGAGAATAGTTAGAATTTTCACAGTTTTCCGTGGCCTCAGAATAACCCAATGAGGTAGGTGAGACATAGAAGGCCAGTTTACAGGTTGGGAAACAGACTGTAAGAAGTTACAAAGGCAGGTGGCAGTAGTTAAGGACATAATGGTGAATGGCGGTGCTCGGATTCAAGCCTTCCAGTTCCTCATCAAGCTCATTCAGTAGAATGGTACAGTGAGTAAGGTACCAGTTAGAATAATTGTTGGGAAAATGCTGTTAGAATAGGATTGCAGGTTTTCGTGTCACATCACAGAACTGGGCAAGAGCAGGAGATGAAGAACTTTTTACTGTCGTGCATCAGTTCGGTGATTGAGCTGTACCCCACTCAGCAGTCTTCTTGGCGTAGGGTGTTACCAACAACATTTTGATTGAGTATGAGTAATAGGTAAATTACGTTTGGGTCTGTTTTCTTAAAAATGAAAGTCCTTACGTTTTGAACAAGCCCTTTATGTATCAAAATACATTTTTCCCCCAGTTTTTGCCATTTTTCTCATTGCACCAATGGAGAGTATAATTGGAAAGTGATGACCAGTCACAGACTGGGTGGCTAAGGAAGGCTGAATTTTAATTCCGTGTTTTATAATCTACCCCTGGGACCTCCCCTTCCCATCTTATCTTGTACAAGAAGGCTAGAGACTTTACCTTTTTTTACTGTTGTTGTTACTGTATCGTGCTCCCCAATTTTAGCACACATTCCGCTCCCTGTTAAGTCTCAAGTATTAAGTGTTTGAGTGAGTGAATGGATGAATAAATGACTGAGCGTCACAGTTCTTAGTGACATACTGTTGGATCCGATTAGACTTTGAGCAGTCCCTTACTAACAGTACTGGGATATTGATTCCTTTGGAATTCCTGTTCTTTGTGCTTCTGCAGTTCATCAAGTGCTCTTTGAGTGCTGTTTGTATCATAAGCACTTGGTACTGTGGTAGATGGAAATAGGAATAAAATTCACAACTTTTCATCAAAGAACTCATAGCTTAGTGGGATGTGTGAGGCACATACATAATAATTATCCTTCTCTATGTGCTTTTAGAGGTAAAAACATGCTGGAAGGAGTCTTCATGGGCTGCGGGACGGGGACAAATTTGGCTGCAGGCAAAGACAATTTAAGACAGAGAACTGTGTGTACCAAGGAAGGAAAATGGAAAAGTATAAGGTCTGCTTAAGAACAGTCCAGAGTTGCTAACTAAAAGCTTTTATGTAGATTCATGGTGAGAATTAAAGTTGGCCAGATTCAGTTAGGATCATATGATAAAGATACTGAATTCCAGATCTGGGTGTTTATATTTAAATTAGCAGGCAGAGGGAAAGATAATATGGCAACACTATGAGGAATGATTGAAGTGAGGAGTTACTGGATATAGTAAGAAACAATAATTAATAAGCTATTAACATTATTCTTGGAAAATGTAAAACAGGTCTGAATTAGGGTTTGCAGTGGAAGTAAGAGAGGAGATAAAGTTTATAGGCATGGCAACTTACTGGATACTGGTGACGAGCAAGTGAAAGGAGCCTAGGATGAACCAGAAATTTCAAACTGGCATATCCCATAATAGAGACATAAGAGTTGCTTTGAATTGGGAAAGGTAAAACATTTGGTTCAGTTTGGGCTACTTAAATTCAGTTTTGGGCACACCTCATAGAATGTTTCTGTGAAGTTGGAATTTAGAGTTCCTTCTTGGGAACATGGTGTAGATTTGCATCGTCTGTAAATGGAATGTTTTCTTTCCAAGACACTTTGAATAGGAGGAGGCACTCCCCACTCTCTACGTGACTCCTCATTTGATTCTTAAGTATTCAGGTTATTACTTAATCCTTCAAATTATTATAGATTGACTTTCCATTTGCATGGTACCTTCAATTTTTCTGCCCTCTAAAT